AGACCTCAGGAGGAAACTCACACGGAACGGCTCCAGCCTCCAGATTTCAGTCCATGTGACCCTTCTTTCTGGGAGGTCCCATCTGGTCCAAGTTCCTTGGGTTGCTAGTTCGACAGCCTTCGCCTTCCGTGTCTCTTCCACTTGGTGACGCACTTCGGCTTGCACCATCTCTCTCCTCTGCTGCACAGTTGCCTTCCCCCACTGGATGAAATGGGAGGTTCCTTGTCCCTGCCGGCCAGTGCAGACATTGCCAATGATATCCCTCAACTCCGTGGAGCTTTCAGCTTGCCTAACTGCAGTGTCTGCTATCCACTTGCGGCCTGTTCTTGTTATGACCCCCGCATTGCTGACACGCTCGTCTTTAGAGTCTCTGAGTATCATTGCCACCCTGCACTTAGCCACCTTGAACTCCTCCACCACAGATGAGAATGGAAGCTGAAGCTGGCCAGACCGAATATAGAAGCTGGGAGGGATATCAAGCCACCGCCTCAGATGTTTGTTTATTCTCTTCTCCAAATTCTCCACTGCAGTCATTGGAATCTCATATACTGTCAACGGCCACATCAGCCTTGGTAGAAGCCCATGCTGGTAAATCCAGGATTTGAACTTGCCAGGTAGTCCTGACCTGTCAATCCTCCTCAGCCACTCATCTACCTGTTTTCCAGTGTCAGAGATGTTGTTCCTGTCGCTGAGGGTGTCATCGTACCACTTTCCCAGGCATTTGATGGAATTCTCCCTGATTGTTGGAATCTGTTCACCTTGGACGTGGAGTTTGAACGCATTCGTCAGCTTCCCCTGCCTTATCACCAAACTCTGTGACTTCCTGGGCTTGAAAACCATCCTCGCCCATGATGCCAAAGCCCCAAGAGTCTTCAGGATCCACCTCCCTGCACATGTGTTGTTGTTGTTATAGTCAGGTCGTCCATGAATCCTCTTAGTGGGGGTTGCCTGCTCCTGCTGCAGTCACTGGTCCTTTGGCCTCTGCTGCTGCTGCTGTAATAAGAAGGTTCATCCCCATGATGAACAGGATGGGGGAGACTGTGCATCCTGTTACAATCCCCTTCTCCAGTATCTGCCATGCAGTGGTGAACTTAGCAGTCTGAAACCATAGATTGAATGACCCCAGGTAGCTGTTAATCATCTGCCTAATCTTGTCTGGGATGTGGTACTGCTCCATGGCCTTGTTAATGAGGATATGGGGCATAGACCCATATGCATTGGCAAGGTCCAGCCAGACTACTGTTAGGTTGCCCTTATTGCCCTTGGTCTCCTGGATCAGATGGCTAAGGATAGCGGTGTGTTCCAGGCACCCAGAAAATCCTGGTATCCCCACCTTCTGGATTGAGGTGTCCACATAACCATTCTCTGTCATGTACAGTAGGTTGTCATTCGCCTTGCCAAGACTGAGAAGAATATCTTAGCTTCTACACTCAACAAAGAAATGGTGCGAAACTGGCTGATCTCAGAAGAGTCCTTCTCCTTTGGCACAAAACAGCCCTCTGCCACTCTCCAGGATGCTGGAAAAACACTGACATTAAATCTGCTGGTTGATTTTGTTTTGTCTGTCATCATGAATTTTCTGTGAATGCTGTAGGTATCATTTATGACTATATATAATTGTTAGCTTACCAGCAAATGTCAGCCTTGCTTGTGTTGAATGCTACGGCCGTTTCTAACTAAAGCATTTCCTTTTGGTTTTTAGGCAGGCATGGATTGGACAGCGCCGGGGGAGTTTAACAAATATGCCAGTCAAATATCTTCTCCAGTCCAGTATGTTGGCATCTTTTCTATTATGAAGAGAATTCTCTCTTTAGATTGTGGACATCATTTCTGTGTTTCTTTTTGGGAAAAGAGAGAAATCTAATAATCGTTACAACAGTGGAAGGTTTTTATTCAGTCCATTCAATTTTGCATACATGGGCTTTGTGAAACAGCCTTAAATATCATGATCACATACACTCACCTAAAGGATTATTAGGAA